TTAATCTCAATTTATGATGGGTTGGATGGAACACCATCGTAAGTCAAGGATCATCAGAATTCCAACATCTATGAACTTAGTGGGATGTTTTCTTTTTGAACAATGGAAAAGTAATAATGCCCATATGATTTTGAAGTTAACACAGTAAAAATTCCAGATGCCGGGGCCTGCTTGTGGCTCACTCGGGATAGTGTGCTGCTGCTAACACCAAGGCCACGGGTTTGGATCCCATATAGGGATGGCCGGTTAGCTCACTGGGTGAGCATGGTGCTGACAACACCAAGTCAAGGGTTAAGATCCCCTTACCAGTCATCTTTTAAAAAAAAAAAAAAAAAAAAAAAAAAAAAATTCCAGATGCCTTTACAGATTAAAGTACACATACACACTTTTATACATACATGCACACACGCGCACACACACACGCACACACAAACACACACACACACACCCTTCATATAACTTTAAGGTGTATTTACTTGGCCATTTCAGGCAATAACAATATTATAAGAATAACTAATACCATTCTGTTGGCTTGATGAGATTCCAAAACCTAGTACCTATTAACATATACCAATAAAAATTATACAATAATTACAAAAATATTATAAGCACTAAATATTAACTCCAAAACATGACACCAAATATCTGAAAAAATTATTTCAATCATCCCCAATACTGACTTGACATCTAAGGATCTTGATAATTGAGTCATTTTTCCCATTGTAACAACCAATTCCCTTATTCTACAAATAAAGAAAATAACATTCGAAGGTTAGACCAGTAACCAGCACTATTTCTAATACAATACCAAATTATGACTGCATGTCCACTGAATACACAAGATAGATGATGCAAACAATAGGGCCTGCTTTAAGAAAATGTGAACTTTTTGCAAGTAGAACTTACTCAAAATTTAGATATGGCAGAAAAGCTGGGATGATTCACACCATCATTATTTTAGAGGGGCTATTAAAATACTTTAAAGAAAAAAAATTACTCACTTTTTTTGGGTTTTTACTGATTATTACTAGGCCCTGTAAAAAATATAAGACAACTACCTACCGCTTTCTTAAATATTGAAAATGGAGCTGGCTGGTTAGCTCAGTTGGATACAGTGTGGTGCTACGGATAACACCGAGGTCCAGGGTTCCATCCCTGTACCATCCAGCCGCCAAAAAGAAAAAGAAAAAAAATTGAAAACAGGCAGTAATATAGATAAAGCACATTATTTTCTGAGATTATCTGATAATAGAAAGTAAGTTGGCTGAATTCCTTCAGTATTAGAATAAAACACAAGCTTATTTGGAAATAGGACATCATTGACATTTCCTGGCAAATCACCTTAAAGAAGGTTAACGAGTATTATTTTAAAAAGGCAATGTAGGGCCGGCCCGTGGCTCACTCAGGAGAGTGCGGTGCTGATAACACCAAGGCCATGGGTTCGGATCCCATATAGGGATGGCCGGTTCGCTCACTTGGGAGAGCGTGGTGCTGACAATACCAAGTCAAGGGTTAAGATCCCCTTACCGGTCATCTTTTAAAAAAAAAAAGGCAATGTATTTCTAATTTTTCATTTTTTTTAAAAACACACACCACAGTAAGTAAAATGCAAAACAATATACATTTTCATTATCCTTTATCAGTTTTTACACGGCTTTAAAGGAAAAAGAATTTCTAAACTACATTTTCAAATGTATTAGACTAAAAGGCATAAAGTGCTTAAGAGAAAAAAGATACAACTACACAGAATATGAAAAAATTTTGCTTATAACAAGCAGAGTGGTTATAAAGGACATTTGGAAACTATTGCCTCACAAAGCTTCCACCCAAGAATGCAAACTTTAAAATCAAGGCAAGATATGATGGACTGCTCTTTGAAGGCAAGAATACCACTGGAAAAAAAGAGGAAAACCTTTTCATTTTGAGTTGCACCAGTCTGCTTACAGAAATGGTCTTTTGGAAACTGGTATTTATAATCACATGTGCACTCTAAGGTTAAAAAACTCAGGCATTTTTTAAAGAGTCTAATATCTGACAAATAATCTGAACCTCTTGATGAGTTTTCAATTATCATGTATATTATTGGCAATGGCATTGATTTTACCCAAACTAAGAGTTTACCTAATTTTCCATCTATTTTAAATTAGAGTAGCTGAGTAAGGAATTGCCATGTTAACTAACATGGCAAGTCTACTAATATTTTGTCTTTGGAGAAGTCTGGGTATCGAACTAAAAGCCATTAGAAAACTCTCTAGTGAAAATGCACACTTTTTGGGGGGAAGTGGTAGTGGTGGGAAGTTCTAAATCTCATTTCTTTACCAAGTCCCAAAGCAAATTGACAGTGCCCTTGCATTTGAAAAAAAGGGAAGGAAAAAAAAGAAAAAGTCAGATTGGCTAGTTAGCTCACTTGGTTAAAGGATGGTGTTGGTAACAACAAGGTCAAGGGTTTGGATCCCCCTACCAGCCAGCAGCAAAAAAAATAAAAAAGAAAATTAAGTCCAAAAGTTATAGAGAAGATTCTCTTGTGTGTACAGAAGTCAACACCAAATTTAAAAAGGTCTCTTTTTAATCCTTTTAAATTTGTTGCTCAAAGTTCAATTTGAATTTTAGAAATTAAGTCACTGGAATCATCAAATTAGCTCCAGTTAAGGAAATATGTGTTTTGCAGATTGATTCAGAACTGTCAGGATATTCTTGGGCAACTTTATTAGTATCACTGGAAAAATTATATACACTATAATGAGATGATAGGATGCTAATGTAAGACATTTCTGGAATGGTCAGAAGTACAGCTTGTTTGTGTAAAATAATCTAGCCCAAATAAGCTATTTCTTATCCCTCTCTATTTAAAAAATAAGGTTCCAATTTTTCCTTCTCAAACATTCTTTTAAAAGCCCATATTCAGAATGTTTTCATGGACACAATAGTGTTCATTTTTAAGAGGTAGTTCTAGAACTGCGCTGTCCAATACAGCAGCCACTACCCATATGTGGCTACTGAGAATCTGAAATGTGGTTAGTCAGAATAGAGATGTGCTGGAAAATATAAACTGGTTTTGAAGACTAAGCACACACACAAAAAAACAGATAAAAGTATATAATTAAATATCATGTGTTTCTTTTTACTTTTTTAATGTACTTAACTAGAAAATGTAAAATACACGCGTAGTTTACATTGTATTTCTATTAGACAGCACTGTTCAAGAATATAGAGCTTAGAAGCATTATGTTGACTGACATTAGAACCAAACCTATTTACCACAGCATGCTTAAAGGGAATTTCTTGAGATCATAATAAAAAATTAGAATTTTGGCAGCCCTCATTACAATTCTGTGTTCGTATTATTACTCCAGCAATTCTAGATTACAATTACATAAAGGAAAAGCTAAGAGTAATAGTAGTGAGATGGTTGTTTACTTTACAGGCAGATCATTTTAGTTTCAAAGGATAAATATATAAATCATAGTTCCATATTAACCACAGTGATCAAATTAATAGACTTCGACCAAAATTCCATTTTTTCCTTAATGACTGTCCTAAACCTAAAGTTGCTAATGTACAGAATTTGCCACAAGTATAAAACTTGTACTTACTTTTATTCGATAAGATTCTTACCTGTACAGATGCCTAAACAAGAAACTTTTAAAATAAATTGAACCAATGGCATTTGGGCTGAAATACCTAGTGATTACAATGAAAACCTTAAAGCAAGAAACATGAAGTCACTGTAAATTGTTAAAATGGCTACTGAATGACAAAAATTCAAATTTCCAAATAGCCTAAATTCTAAAAAATTAACTTTACATGCTTTCCTCCCTAAATACTCACTTTTATTATTCATATGTTCATGTCTTTAGGTTAAAAAAAAAAAAAGAATTTTAAACAACTGAGCACAAAATTTGAAAACTACATGTAGAAATGTCTTTATTGAGCACCTCTTGATGGTCTACTGAAAATTGCTCTCTATTGAGCAAAATTGTGGTCTGTAAAAACATATAGTAATACTTCCTTTGTGTAATGTAAACAATTTTTAAGTTCTTCAAAGTATATCCAGATTTATTGGTAATTTAAAGAGGCGAATACCCACCCACTCTTTCTACTTCTGAAACCTTAAGCCAACAGATTTGAACAACTTCACGGAACTACTGAACCTCCAAAATGATACTGCCAATGTTAAAATGCAAAGAATTTTATAACATTGTAAAAAATAAATACAAAATAGGGAATAAATTCCAAGGCAAAAGGATTTACAAATTTTGGAACTATAATGCTCTTATTACCAGAATGTACAAAACACTGATTCTTTTATAATTTTGCAGTACTCACAAATGCTCACAGTTTCGAAACAACTCATCTTTTAGATTTCCATAATGTCCACTTAGAATAAATGTGATTTTGCTGTTATTGTTCATAATAGAATAAAAATCTTTAGTTTCGATAGAATAAAAATCTTTAGCTTTGATGGTTCAGATGTAATAAAAAGAAACAACTAAGTTTGCGCCTTAGAGAGAAATACGGTAAAGAAAAAGCACAGAACTTTATCAATACACTCAAACCATATTCCACTAGAATAGTCTTAGGACCTTATTAGACAGATTCCCAAATCCATAACTAAGCCTCCAATCAGGCTAAAATTTAACAACAGTATTTCAATTAAATAATGGTATTTGAGAAGAGTTGTACCCTCAGGGGAAAAGATCACATAAACATGCTTTTCTTGGTGGGGAGGAGCGTATATTAGAAAAACTGCAGTAATCAGATTGCCTTAACATTTCTAAAATCACATAAAAAATCATCTTTGATTACCATTTCAATAATTTTTGATATGGGATATGTTACTGTCTGCTTACTAGTAACCAAAACACACATAAAACAGACTTATAACAAATATTCGGAATCAATTATTTTCATAAGCTAAACAAACATTTCTGAGACTTTAAGATTTGTTTTTGAGCATACAGTACTGCAATGTTGGCTACATAAAATAAATAGAAAATCTTTTTTGAGAGGAAGCTCAACAATCAGAGGCTGTATTGCATTTAAAGATTTAACACTGGCTATATACAGAAGGAAAAGCATTTCGATTAGAAATACTTCATGTTACTGAGCTTTCTCTTTTAATATGGCAACATTCAGCAGCTTACCATTCTGAGATTTAAAAACAATAGGAATAGTGCTACTTTTTTATCCTTTGGTTCCCAGTGACAACGCAGTAATAATGCCTTGCTTCAGTTCCTCTTGGATGACATTTATTAGCAGCGAGAGATCTGCTCGATTGCTTAGCTGAAATTTGGCAGTCCAAGAAGTGCACCAACTGCTCCAAAGTATCCCTGTGTAATTTTTAAGAAATTGTTAATGTATTGTAGCTTTTAAATCACCATACAATATTAACTACTTCGTAAGAACACACATTTATGTATGATCTATTTATTTATTCAATAACATTCATTTGAAAATCTACCAATTTCCATGTTGTAAAAATTTTTCTTATACTGTGTTCTCCTATGCACACACACACCCACCCACCCACCCACCCACCCTTGAAATATGTATTTTTCAAGTATGGCTTTTAGGCACTAAAGCTTCCAGGACTATTATACCAGTTCTGTGCCCTCTCCCTGCTACTCAATAACCTAATTAACTTCCCGTGGCTCTGTGACATTCTCACCACATGCTTGGTGGACCTGCACAAGAGCACACAATTCTGATCTGTACCAGTACAGCAGCACAATGAGGTACAGAAGCTTATGACAGCAGAAAAATACTTTGAAACTGCATAATTCATAATATTATACTATTTGACTTTGACTTTTAACAAAATGATTCAAGTTAAGTTTACTTGATCCAAAATATTACGTGAACTAATAATTGCTCAGATCAGAATTTAACTGGATGTAGGAATGAACAGAAAAAAAACCGTAAGCAATGAACTTCAAATGCTAACAGTGATTTCTTCTGGAGGTGGAGGTAGGGTTGTGGTGAGAGAATTATGGAGAATTCTCATGACTAAATTATTTGTTTTTGGATTTGTTCACATTTAACAATTGTAATCTTGGGGAGTGGGGGGAGTGATAACAACAACAAAGAAACAAAACAACTTAAAAAAATATCCACTAAATACACAAGCAGCCCCAGGTATCTGAGGAGCTCAGACTTCATATTGCTCTCTCTCGGTCAGAACTGTGTAATTCTAATCTTAATGGGGGCTGGCTGGTTAGCTCAGTTGTTTAGAATGTGGTGTTTTAACCGTACTG